CTGAAATACAATTCAGCATCAGAAAGTCCATTTTTTCCACGTTAATCATTATTCATCTGTATGTAATACATTTCCAGAAACACTTATACAATGTACTTACAGCCAGACAGGTGTCATTTGGGTTAAAACTTCGGAACCCACAGCAGTTTAAATTTCTCTGGATGTCATTTCGAGCACTTGCTGTATTGTTCCAACCAACCTCAAGAAGCTGACCCTAGAAAATGTATTTAATATACAAAATGTGTCATCCCTGCATAAAATGTATAAAGCTAGACCCTGTGACTTTTAGTACTAAGTGTACCTAAAATAAATAATTTTTATTTTAAAAATCAATAAAACTTTTCCAAGACCTACTACTCAGTCAGCAGCAAAAATTAAGGCACTATTTCTATCCCAAGAATGAAAAACTCCTAATTTTTATATGCAATTTAAAAGAAGCACTCAGTTCAAAGGCATAATTCTCAGAGTCTTAACAAGGGAAACCTGTTGCTCCAAGACAGAAACCTAGATTTGTCTCCTAGATTTGTCTGCAAATTAGAGCTTGAAAAGAGTCATTGCTAGAATGGAACGGCAAACATTCTGGAGCAAATGTTTCACTGCATAATGGGGGAAAAGATTGGGGAAACATCTTCTAGCCATAGCACTTTTTACCCAGTGAGAGCAAAATCCAACTTAAAAGATACAGAAAATGGCAACACTTGATGGTGTCCAGCTCCCACCAGCTGCACTAATGCAAAGGGAACAAGAGAGTTTTGCTATCCAACGTGAAGGTGGCATTGTGAGCAAGATGAAATTATTTTATATTCCAATCATTTCTCTCCTTTTTTTTCATACTCATGCTATGTGGGGTAATAAAGTAGAAGACAAACTCTTAGCTTACCTGTTGCTCCTGGTTCAGGGCTAAACAAGCACAAGACACAGAAAACTGGACAATAAATACAAGTAAGAGAATAATCATATACTGAGAGTCAGAAGTTAAGGATACTTCCAAATATTCTTAAAATGGCATAAAACAGAGGTAAGGGGTACTGACAACTTTAGAATGCACTAGAAGCAATTAATCCAGAATATCGGACAGACGGCACTTATAGAAAGTTCAAAAAGGACAGACATATTATTATTTTGGTAATATACAGTTGCATTAAATTTATATAGAAAAATACTGACGATAATTATATAACTAAAATAGATTTGAATTTCATTTAGAATAAAATTAAAATTCTTACATATATAAAACAGAAATAGGTATAAATACATGTAAGCTTTTTTAACATTAAGTCTAAAAAAACACTGAAATTCTCAACCAAACATTAATGTGTAGAAAAGGGCCTAGAAGTCACCAAATCAATTCAATTTAACTCTGAATTTACAATACATAAATAGGACTATACTGAACTTGCAGAATATATTCTTCAGGATGTCACAAGGACAGAGTGAGAATATAAAAACATACAATTACATCATCCTAAGAAATGTTCCTAACAGTTCTTGAACAAATATGCATAAGACTTGCTAGGAGTTACTTCCTGGCAATAAATTTCCTAGTGATAATATTAAACTAGTTGTAACCATTAAGATCTTAATCAAGGGTAAAATATTGATTTTAAAAAAAGGATACAAAAAATAGCAACACCTGATGGTGTTTTACGGCTCCGATCAGCCCCACTAAAGCAATCAGGAACAGGAAGATGCCCACGGCAATGACCACGCCGACCACTCGGAGACTGGAAATCAGCCCGAAGCCAATGCCCCACGCAGCAATTCCAATTAGCAGCAGACTAACCAACTGCAAAAACACCCGGGGCAGGAGTAGAGGACAAGGAGAAGAGAGAATGGGAAAATGCCAGTTAATTAAATATCAACAACATCCGTCAGGTACCTATTTAGTACCTTACAAATAAGCACTAATGCTTAATACAAGAACACACACAAGATCTCAGTAGGTAGTATTGTTTTAACAAATTACATTAATCCCCAGTGGTGCTTTATTCTTGCAAAAGAAAAAAAAAGACTAACAATAATACACAAAATTCTCAAAGAGCCTCAGAAGTCATCTGCATACTAAGCCTAAATGCATGCGACTTGAGATTTTGAGGAGATCATATATGCAAAAACGTATAGATGCCAATCTCAGTCCAACATATTAATCTCTTCAAATGGGTATCATCTATCTTTCCATCAAAGCCCAAATGCACTGTAATTTTCTCTGGAAGGCCCTCATAGTCCCCAACAGACTGAATAAACCCCTCCAGTGTCTGGCCGATCTCTGTTCCTTGAACATGGTTCTCTTGTTCCCTTCATCACACATTGTGTTTCCAAGCTGGTCTCTGCAGAAGACTGGCAGCAACTCAAGAGTAAGGACCCACCTCTTTTCACCTGGCTATACAGCCCCAGAATCACAGCACCTATACAGGACCAGGTCCCCGGGGAATACTCAAAAACTGCTCACAGAATTGCTGCTGAAATGAATTGCTTTAAATGTCATCATCTATTTGATTAAAAATCATATACAGAGAGATCATTAAAACTCTTAGTAGCATAAAAAGAATGTAAGAGACTTTAGCTATTTAAGGTGAACTAGTATTCTGAGCAAAAACAAATTATTTTATATTCCAATTGTTTTATTCATATATTTATAAAACAACACTGGCTGAAGAAGGCATGCCTAGTGGTTATGACCTCTAAAACTCAAAATGACATTACTTCTTTAAAATCACACTTAAGTCCTACGTGCATGCAAGTGGCTGCGTCGGGCTGCAGAAGATTGTGGTCTCCACAGGAGTTAAAGTTCCTCCTAATCTGCGCTTGTTGGAAGAACTTGAAGAAGGACAAAAAGGAGTAGGCAATGGTACAGTTGGCTGGGGCCTTGAAGATGATGAAAATATGACAAAAGGTGGACACGCATGACTATTGGGCCACCAAGGACAAATTATGAAAACAGAATATAAAGGATGAGCACGGTGGCTCACACCTGTAATCCCAGCACTTTGGGAGGCAGAGGTGGGTGGATCACAAGGTCAGGAGCTCGAGAGCAGCCTGGTCAATATGGTGAAACCCCATCTCTACTAAAAATATAAAAATTAGCTGGGCATGGTGGCACATGCCTGTAGTCTGAGGTACTCGGGAACCTGAGGCTGGAGACTCACTTGAACCCAGGAGGCAGAGGTTGCAGTGAGCCGAGATTGTACCACTACACTCCAGCCTGGCCAACAGAGGAAGATGCTGTCTCAAAAAAAAAAAAAAAGAAAGAAAAGAAAACAGAATATATAGCCTGAAAGTAGTATGTGGACCTAAATACCCAGAAGCTCCTCCATCAGTTAGATTTGTAACAAAAAATAATATGAATGGAATAAATCATTCCAGTGGGATGGTGGATGCCTGGAGCATACCAGTGTTAGCAAAATAGCAAAACTCATATAGCATTAAAGTTGTATGATGCTAATGATGTCCAAAGAAAATATGAAGCTTCCACAGCCACCAGAAAAACAAACATACAGCAATTAATTTTAGTGGATCTCCAACTTGTCTTGAATCATGTTAATGTCTTGATTAAATATCAGAATGCAAAATACTCACACATTAAATAAAATAATTCTAGCTGGTAAACATAACCTGGACATATGTAAGAATATATCTAATATATGTACACCCATTATATTTTCAGGTAACAGGAGGAAAAATGCAGCACAATTTTTTTTCTCTTGTTAAGGCACTGTCACTTAAACATAAACCTGGAGTACTCGAAATAGAATTCAGGTTTCCAAGATAAAAGTGTGTAGCGAAGTGTTAGATTGCAGTGGAAGCATGTGTGTTTCTAAAAAAATTAAAATCTCAAGAAAGAAAACAGAAATTGCATGCTTTATCCATCCTGCTTAGGGAAAGAGAGCTGGAGTTGAAATTGTTTAAAAAGTAGCAGGTACAATGAATGTTGTCACAAATGTGTTAATTTTTGAAGCAGTGTGGATGCTGATGACTAGTAGTATCAAAAACATGTTCATGATTGTTTTGATACTTATATATATTATAAAAAATGTTGGGGTGAGTGGATGAACTTCTGTTAAAAGCTGCTCTTGTGTGTTACATGTAACAGACATGGTAAATATTTGTCTACAGTCTTTGTTTAACAAACAATGCATTTAAGTGAAATCAACAAAAAGGAAATAGGTGTATGGATACGTGATTCTGAGATTAAAGTTAATCCTAAAAGGGGCTGGGCACGGTGGCTCATGCCTGTAATCCCAGCATTTTGGGAGGCCAAGGCAGGCAGATCACGAGGTCAGGAGTTCAAGACCAGCCTGGCCAATATGGTGAAACCCCATCTCCACTAAAAATACAAAAATTAGCTGGGCCTGGTAGGGCATGTCTGTAGTCCCAGCTACTTGGGAGGCTGAGGCAGGAGAATTGCTTGAACCTGGGAGCCGGAAGCTGCAGGGAGCCAAGATCCCACCAGTGCACTCCAGACTGGGCGACGAAGCAAGACTGTCTCTCAAAATTAAATAAATAAAATAAAATAAAATAACAAAGTTAATCCTAAAAGATAAATAAAACGTGGAACATGTCCTCAGAATAAAATCACACTTCAAAATAGTACACCACATAAAGATCATAATTCACTTATAGACGATGAAGCTTAATAGGTATTATGGACAGGAATGGGGGACAGGCTGTTGAACAGGAAGGAAACAGCATCTTCACTTCAATTGTGGGTCAACCATTTCCTGCAGCAATCTGACAGCATAACATCCAATTAGAAAGACTCAAAACATTAAAAATCTATTTTTTAGCACCATTTAAAAGCCTGATAAACTTTGCTTAGAAATATAAATTGCCACTTACTCAAATGGATCTTTGTCTGCCCAAATGTGTAAATTTTCATATGTAATATTATAGTTTATCAGGCAAATTTAACATCTACTGGTATAATGAACCTTCTTACATATGTAGAGATACAAGCAAAACTGCTACATATTGAGCGTCTATTTGTACTCTTATCCAAAATATTTTTTTGCATTTTTTTTGCCAAAGAGACAAAACTTGAAGATAAAAGGAACCATGTATAGCATAAGAGAACCAAATTAGAGAGCTACATGGACTTGGTAGGCTCCAGTGCAGCTGGAACACCCAGCAAGCTTTTCTTTTCCAAGGGACAAGGAGAGACAAGAACTTTCACAAATTTTGCCACTCAGAAATTTGTCTAGTCCTTCTCCTGTGCCCAGCTGCTCCTTATCAGCAGGCACATTTGCTTCTGTTTGATTTTATCCCCCTCACTGACAGTCTTCTAACAACTTCAAACAGTCTTGTACTGAGAAAAAGTTCTCTGCCCCTCCAACAAGTGAACTTATTTCTAACTCTGTGGTATTCAAATTTAACACATTTCTTTTCAGGAGCTGTAAAAGACAGAAGCCTGAAGGAGGTGCGAAGGAAGAAGGAGGAAGCACGGCAGGAGGGCTATGCTTAGCATCCTTGCTGCATCCTGGTACCAAACACTGAAGACGGGTCACGTGTGCAACACATCACAGCAGCCTGCTGCATTTCTGTTTCCAGAGAAACAGAACCAATAGGAAATGTATCTATATCTAATCTATTGAGTGAAAATCCAACAGTGAAACAGGCACACACACAGACAGAGAGATTTTAAAGAATTGGCTCATATGATTGTCGTGACTGGCAAGTCAGAAATTTGTGGGGCTGGCCAGCAGGCTGGCAACTCAAGCAAAATTTCTTCTTCCTCAGAAAACCTTAATCTTTGTTCTTCAGGTCTTCAACTGACAGGCTAAGGCCCACCCACATGATGGAAGGTATAGGATTTAAAGTCAACTGATTGTACCTGTTAGACACCTCTACAAAATACCTTCATAGCAACATCTAGACTAGTGCTTGACCAAACAATGGGGCACCATAGCCTAGTCAAGTTCACACATAAAATTAACCATCGCATTTGCCGACATCCAAGTCCTGGGTGTGATGCATATTTCCTAATTCAGTTAAGTTCACAGGGGGAACTGCACTGTATCCTTTAACTCTTAGACCCAGAAAGATAAGAAGCATAAATAATCTGATATTATTTCAATCCCAATAGATCTTTAAAACTTTAAAATCTTTAAAAGATTCTTTAAATCCTTTAGGAAATTACAGTACACCCTTACTATATTACTGAAATTCTTAAATATGAGAATATTAAAAGTTATACACTTTATAGTTACACACTTTAAAGTTATACACTTTAAAGTTCTAAACTTTAAAGTTATAACATTAAAAGTTAATTATTCATCAACAAGTACTTAATGCTGAGTATATGCTAAAAGCCAGAAACAAGACATCCCTATAAGAACAGGGCTTGGCCAACTTTCTCTGCAAAGGGCCAGATATTTATCATTAGGCTTTGCAGATCACATAGTCTCTGCCACAAAAATTCAACTCTGCCACTGTACACAAAAGCAGTGACAGACAATATGTAAGCAAAGGAGTAGGCAGGGCTGTGTTCCAATAACACCTTATTTATATATACTGAAATTTGAATTCATATAATTTTAATGTATCACAAAATGTCATTCCTCCTGTTTTTTCAGCATTCAAAAATGTGAAACCATTCTAAGCTAGCAGGCTGTACAAAAATAAGTCAGTGAGATGGATTTGGCTGTGGGCTGTAGTTTTCTGACCCTTGCTCTAGAAGTCAGTGTAGAAGAGAATGAAAAATTACAATGGAACAAATAATTGCTACACCAGAGATTTTTTATAAGGTGAGTCAGAGCACAGAACAATAATCTTCCCCACACACACAAAAAAATCCAGACAAACAGAACAGGCCAACTGACCCCTCTGTGAATATAACCTTATGTAGTAAAGAATAAATATTATCTTATATGGTAAAAGATGGAACTAAACCAAGGATTTTTAAAGGAGGTGCTTATCCTAGATTATGACGTAGGGCCTAAATGTCATAACCGGTATCCTTACAAGAGAGGCACAGGGAAATTAGAGAGACACACACACAATGAAGAAGGTGAAAAAAAGAGGCAGAGACTAATGCCAGCAGCCACAAGGAATGCCAGCAGCCACCAGAAAATGGAAGAGGCCCTGAGAGAGCCTGACTCTGTGGACACCTTGATTTTGGACTTCTGGTCTCCAGAACTATAAGGGAATACATTTCTGTTATTTTAAGTCACCACATTTGTGGTAATTTGCTACAGCAGCCCCGGAAAAGAAATACTGAACAATTCACCTATGTGGAGTTTGACAAGTCAGGAACCTCTCACTGTTAAAGAACCTGCCTAGAATTTTACCATCAGTGGAATCCTTACCATGTAGCTAGGGTGAGGTGTTCCGGCACCCTCATCAGCATCTCCCAGCACAGCAAATACATTACTTGCATCACAGTTTTGGCAAAATGAGGAAACTCTTCAATGCTCACTCCGTTGCCAACTAAGAGGCTCATTAATAATTAAAATCTATTAATGTAAATGTAAAAATATACATATCTCTACAACCAAAAAGAGGGGAGAAAGCACTAGTTTAGTTCTCAGACTAGGCATTATGCTATCATTGAGAATGTTATCTAGAATATTCACAAGTATGTCTGTTCTGGTTTTTTTCTTTTCCTGCACATAGGGGGAAAAAGAGGCTGCTTCCTTCTGATAACCCTCTGTCAAGGGTATTCCTCGCCAAGTTGATTCTGCTGTGTCTTTAATACAGTTTTCAGTATACCCCAATTACCACTACCAGGCCGTCCTCTAAAACCATCGAAGAGGGTTTCCTATCATTGCTTTAGCAAATTAACACAAGCATGGTGGATTAAAACACCACAAATGTATTGCCTTACAGTTCTGGAGGCTGTGTTGGTCAGGCTGTACTCCCGAAAGCTCCAGTGAGAGAATCTGTTTCCTTCCTTCCTCTAGCCTCTGGGGGTTTTCTGAATTCCTTGGCACAGAGCCTCAAATGCGCAGGTCCTTTTCTGACTCTGACCCTCTTTCCCCTCTTCTAAGGACTGATGTGATTCCATAAAGATCACCCAGATAATCCAGAATAATCTCCCCATCTCAAGATTCTTCATTGAATCATATCTTTCAAAGTCCTTTTAGTTACGTAAAGTAACATATTTGTAGGTTCCTAGGATTAGGATATGAACAATTTTTTGGAGGTTATGGTTATTTAGCTCACCACAGAGAGTTCTTGGAACATGGGTAACTGAGCTACCATAGAATCTTTTCAGCTACAAATATTTTAAAACACTGAAAAAGACTGTAATATTTTATTTAAATATGTAACCGAGCACAGAGAAACCATATGAAATTCCTACAGGCCAGAAATGAAAGGAGAACAAAAAGCTAGAACTGTAAGCATACAGCTGGTGCTATGGGGTCCCATGGGCAGGTGGGGAAGGAGTTCCTGGTTCAGAAGAGTCCCTAAAGGGGATGGACTTAGGTTTCGTAGCAGAACTAGGAAAGGCAACTGAGACGCTTGCATAACTGGGATCTCCAAAAAGCTGTATTTTTAGTGTAAGGGGTTAGAGAAAAACCACAATAATCTACCCCAGGAAGACAGCAAAGACTTTTCAGTCTCTTCGAAAAGTCGGCAAGAAAGAGAAACATGGGCCTATCAAACAAGAACCTATCATGCCCATGCTTGCAGTCTAAGTGTACACTGCCTCAGGCATGCAGGAGTCCTCAAGACAAACAACTCAAATAAAAGCTGATTACCAGAGGTGACGGCATTTGGGGAGAAAAACTCATAGAAGTATATCCAAAATTTGTTCAGAAGGGACCATTCCAAATCCCAGCCCTTACAAGATTCTCAAAGAAATAAATATAAACTTTGCTGCCAATCAAAAAAAAAAAAATCACAAAATGGCTAGGAAAAAAAAATGTACCATGAGAGAGATGTGACAAATACAACAAAAGGATAAAAGCTCCCGAGAACTAGAGATGACAGAACTAACTGAAAAAGACTAAAACAAAATATTTTAAACTGGCTAAAAAGATAAAAGGGGACGGGGTGCAGTGGGTCACACATGTAATCCCAGGATTTTGGGAGGCCGACGTGGGTGGATCACTTTAGGTCAGGAGTTCAAAGTCAGTCTGGCCAACTCGGTGAAACTCTGTCTCTACCAAAAATATATTTTTTAAAAAATCGGCAGGGTGTGATGGTGCGTGCCTGTAATCCCAGCTACTTGCGAGGCTGAGGCAGGAGAGCTGCTTGAACCCGGGAGGCAGAGGTTGCAGTGAGCCAAGATCACACCACTGCACTCCAGCCTGGGCAGCAGAGTGAGATTCCATCTCAACAATAATAATAACAATAAAATAAAATAAAAAATATTTAAAAATAAAATTTTTAAAAAGATGAAAGGGGAATAAAAACAGTATTTTTTAAAACGCAAACTTAAAAAAGTGCCACATAAACCCAACATAGGAGAAAGAAGAGAAACTTACAATAGAAAAGATACATAAAGCTACATTAAAGGAGAAAAAAGTAACAGCCTTTAGCAAAATTATTTAAGAGAAAGACTGAGAATAAATCCTTCCAAATTTTTAAACTGATAAATACCTATCAAAAACCCAAAGCAAAAATCACACTCAGTGATAAAAGAAAAGAAGCATTACTCTAGCTAATGGACAGAAAAAAAATGAACCATAAACACTTTCTCTAAAATTCAGGAAGAAGACAGGGTGTGGGCTTTCACCACATCTATTCAGCATTATAGTGGGGGTTTTAGACACTGACCAAGCATAAATACAGAACAATGGGAGGAAACACAACTTTCATTATTTACAAATTATTAGGACTATCTACAAAGGAAATCCAAAAAATATTTAAAAAACTAAAATCGGTAAGAACCAGCAAAGTTGCTAGAAACAGAATCAATACACAAAAATCAACCACATGCTGATACACCACAAAGATAATTTTTCATGTACTTTTTAGGATATAATTTGTAACATGCCCCCAAAATATAAGGTATACTTGAAGAAATCCAACAAAAGTAGTGCAAGGTCTTCATGAAGAAAATTGTGAAATGTATTTGAAGAACATGAAAAAGACCTAAAATAAACAAAGGGATAAAGAAGATTAAGGAGAAAAGCTTATATCCGCGGCACTTTTTCTCAGCCCAGCTGCACTGTCACCAGAATCAGGCAGAAGAAATGCTCCTGGCGGCAAATCAGTCCTGTTGGTGGTTCACAGTAACTGCCCTGAATGCTACCTCTGTTGTTGTTTCACCCATGTCTACAAAACTTGAACCGGACTCTACATATTTTGGATATGTTTCTTTTTTTTTAGTAAAATGAAATAGATAAAATTTAAAAACTAAATAAGTTAAAAATCATCTAACAAATATCAGAACTTACTATAATGGCAGGGCATGGTTGCTGACACCTGTAATCCTAGCACTTTGGGAGGCCAAAGTGGGTGGATCACCTGAAGTCAGGAATTCGAGACCAGCCTGGCCAACATAGTAAAACCCCGTCTCTACTAAAAGCATAAAAATTAGCCAGAAACTGCTTGAACCTAGGAGACGGTGGTTTTAGCGAGCCAAGATCGCACCACTGCACTCCAGCCTGGGTGACAGAGCAAGACTCTGTATTAAAAAAAAAAAAAAAAAAAAAAAATCATTATAATGGTTCAGTTGTTAAAGCCAAGTAACTGATACAGATCTAAATAAGCCAACTGGGTAGTCTTTGAGAGAAGTGAAACTCTAAGTCAGTAGAAAAAGAGTAGATAAACATCAGGCTTTAAGAAGTAACCTTGTGGCCGGGCGCGGTGGCTCAAGCCTGTAATCCCAGCACTTTGGGAGGCCGAGGCGGGTGGATCACGAGGTCAAGAGATAGAGTCCATCCTGGTCAGCATGGTGAAACCCCGTCTCTACTAAAAATACAAAAAATTAGCTGGGCATGGTGGTGTGTGCCTGTAATCCCAGCTACTCAGGAGGCTGAGGCAGGAGAATTGCCTGAACCCAGGAGGCGGAGGTTGCGGTGAGCCGAGATCGCGCCATTGCACTCCAGCCTGGGTAAAAAGAGCGAAACTCCGTCTCAAAAAAAAAAAAAAAAAAAAAAAAGAAGTAACCTTGTAACAATTATCTTCTCATTTTGAAAACTGACATTATTAGTCCCTACCTCAAACCATAAACTCTACATATTAAAAAGCACAACTAAAAAGTATAGAAAATATTTTAATGACTTTGTGGGTAAGGAAAAATTTATTTGAAACAAGTTTCAAAAAGTGCACATGTAACACTGACATGGCATGTACTCTGTTTAAAAATGTATTTTAACGGCTTTACATGTATTAACTAATTTAATCTTCACAAAAATCCTAAGAGGTAGGTAGTACTATTGCTTCCATTTTCCAGATGGGAAAAGTTGTGCACAAAGTGAGTTGTTAAGTAACTAGCCCAAGGTTAGATAGCAAGGAAGGAATATAGCTGGGATACGAACCCAGGCTACCTGGCTGTAGATCTGTGTTTTTACCTACTGTACCATCCTACCTGTTACAAATATAAACTTCTGTACTGTACAGTGAAAAACACTAGACAAATATGGGAGAAGCCTAGGACTAGAAGAATATATTTCTAGCACACATGTATATTTTAAAATGCCTACAAATTAACAAAGCAAATTGAAAAGTGGTCAAAGGTAGTAAGAGTCAATTCACAGAAGAATAATTTGAAAGGCCAACCAACACATGAAAAATGTTAAATTTCATCAAAAATCAGGAAAACAAAAATGTAAACAAGGAGAGACTATCTCTAGATTGGCAAAATCTAAGCTTGATGACACCAAGAATGTAAAGAACCTAGAACTCATGTACAAGTAGAAATCTAAATTGTTGTAGCTACGTTGTATAATAAATTAACAACACTTAGGAAAATTAAAGATATGTATCCCTTACTACACCAGCAATTCTGTTTCTAGGTTAATCCCCAAGAGAACACCTATGTCCCCAACTAGACATATACCAGGATTCTGCTACAGTCTTGTTTGTTACAGTAAAAAATTAAAAACATTTTCAAACATCATGACTAGGGAATTCTCAGACTCTGGTGTGATAACACGATAAAATACAAATGATTTTTATCTATTCCTATTAAACTGACAAATTTCAAAAATATACAGGAAATCAGACAAGTTGCATAAATACAGATAAAACATACTATTTACATAAATTTTCAAGCACAAAAAACAATACTATACGTTATTTGTAGATGATTAATATATGCAATATATGACGTTGTCACAAACATTTATGGAAGTGACAGATGTTGATTTCAGGACACTGAGCACTTTTGAGAGGGTAAAATGGGAAAGGGACTGGAGAGTGGGCCTTCAGCTACAGTGTAACATTTAACTTCTTAAAAGAGGGGCTAGCTGTGTTCAGCGGTGAGTGCCTATGGTCTCAACAGTATCTGGGACTCTGGAGGCAGATCACTTGAGCCCAGGTGTTTAAGGCTGTAGTCCACTGTGACTGCACCTGGAAATAGCCACTGCACTCCAGCCTGGGCAACATAGAGAACCTTCATCTCAAAAGAGAGAGAGAAAAAACACTGGCATATGTGAAATATATAAAGCTATTGAGTTCATAGGGGTCTACCAGATTATTTCCTGTACATATAAAATTTCCTAATTAAAACTAGCCTTGAAAAATGTAATAAGCCCCTTCTTACTAAGTCACCAATTCTAAGTTCTTCTGCTTTGCTTTCCTCTCTAAATTGGTCCAACTTTCCTCATCCAGCCTTAGCTCCCACTGCTTCCCAAACCCAGCTATTTAAATCTAGACAGTCTCACTTGTCTCTCAAATATTTCACATCGATTCCCATATAAGTGCAGTCCACATTCCCTCCTCTAATTTGTTCCTATGTAGGAGAGAGGAGGCTTAGGAATGAAGGTGGTATACAACTGAAGGCAACAGGCAGCAAGTTGCTGATTCTCCACGTTTATAACAGAAGGCGATGCTCTAGGTCCATCACACTCAGATGGTCTCAAGTGTGAACCAAGACACTGCCCTACACCGTTTTCAAGCCCGACTCCTAGGTGCACATGTGCACACACACATGCACACACAAATACACATTCTTATTTATAAGGGCCATTCCCAAAGGTGAAAGAAAACATAGATTCAGTGGTCCAATCCAAAACAAATTTTGCATTTATTACCACAGTGAAACTGTACACCATAAACTTGTTTGTGCTAATCAATTTTCTAACATACACCCAAAAATATGTTGGATTTTTTAATTTAAAAAGGCCAAATCAAAGCGTTTTCTTGTGTATAACTGGTGTTTCTAACACATTATTTTTAAAATCCCCCATGTATCTAAGTTAGCTTTTTAAATTAGAAATAACACCTAAAGATTTATAATATGCCTCTAATAAGGTCTGATTATCAGTGTTATCTTAACTAAAAAGGAGCCTTTTAAAGATAATAAAACAATTTATTTCTCAGTAGTGATAATTACATGTTATGGTTGGTTTGTAATTGTGAAGAGAATGAGATTATATGAGGTCTTCCAAACTAGTGATCTAAAAATTATTAATTTAAATAGTTAACTCTAACTGCATAATTAAAAAGCCTAGGTTTGTCACTAGAACTTGGTAGACAAAGGAACTCCAAAGAATCTTTTGTTCTATTATAATAACAGTTTTCTTATTAAATCAATTGTAATAGCAAGTAAATGTAGGCCTATGACAAATAGTTTCCTTCCCTTTGGGAGACAGAATGCTGATAAAAACGGAATTATGCATCTGTTAATTCATTGCTAGTAATGTTCTTATAAGCAGGAAGCACCAATCTTTCCTGTTTTCTCTTTAAAACAAAGGTGAATCGTATAAAACCAGTTTTAAGAGAATTAAAGGAGCTATAATGGAAAAGGTACACCAAAGCAAGACATAAAACTGTCATAAAAAGTGTCCAAAACTGGCATTGCTTCCCCAAGTAAACCCCAAGAGAAAGCGGCAATGGCAAAACTGCAAGTGCACACGTGAGTAGGGTCTAATGAAGGTGAACAAACAGGAAAGTGCTGCTGCAAGGAACATAGAAATTCTCAGCCAGGCCAGGGGCAGGGTCTCATGCCTATAATCCT